TGCTCGTCAGGCTCGAGAGGCTCGACAGACTCGACACAAGCTGAGGATTCGCATGTAGCGGCGGCGAAACTGTCATTAGAGGACAATATTTGGAATGGTTCAAATTGGGGCGTAGTGTTTTCTTTTATCAGCTGATCTCTGCGACTACTGCCAACCCCGTAGACGACGTTTTTCGTGCAAAACAGCGTGTGATTGTCGCCACCTCTGATGTACAATAGCTCATCCAGGGGTATAGGGCAGCTGCCGGTTGTAGAATGGAGAACTGTGGTTGGAGTGTTGACTATGTCGGCTGCTGGAATTCCGAGTTGGCCTTCTCCGTTACTTCCGAAGACATAGAGTTGGAGAGAAGATTTTTTAGGAACTTCTCTGTAACATTGTGGAAGCCAACGTGGCATGCCTTGATTTCAGCACTCTTGTGCTTACTACAAGGTCTAAGTGAGTGCCAATAAATCGGTTCGGCGATGAGACCGATGGAGGTGAGTGCCAACGAGAAGAATTGGGTACGAATGATAAAGTTTTATAAGATCTTCCGAAACGGGTGGGACAAGCAGAGCTCTGCGACCAACAATTATTCTCCCAACTGGCGAATTATGATTACAGGGTGGCAACCAATTCTTTTGCAACGCTGTAGGGCCAGAACATTTGTGAAGGCTACGTCAACTTGCACAACAATGATGTTGGAAAAAGGCGGTAGCGTAGAGGACCAAGCAACCACCATGAAGATGCTTTGAATCAGGATCTGAAAATGCTCGTGGCGAGGTTGAAGATGCGCGGCTTCTTGAGTTTAAGGCGCTAGCCCGCCGCGACGCTAATCGCTTACAGGGATAGCGGGTCCGTGCGCCCACTGAATTTCGACATGCAACATCGTCGGGTAACTTCCACCCATCGACGACAGCCAAACCGACCACGCCCACCCGTACTAACCGCACGCACATTCCACAGTCGCCCAACATGGCCTCCCAGAGCGTGCAATGCTTCGGCAAGAAGAAGACCGCGACTGGTACGCAAAGCCCGCCGCCCGACCTCCCAGAGCAAGAAGAAGAACAAGGCTAACAATACCGCCCACAGCTGTCGCCCACTGCAAGGTACACACGCAATGCCACGATCGAACGCGCATCCGAACAGCATACTTACGATGAAATTCTAGGCCGGAAAGGGTCTCGTCAAGGTTAACGGAAAGCCTCTTTCCCTCGTCCAGCCCGAGATCTTGCGATTCAAGGTCTACGAGCCCATCCTCATCCTCGGTGTTGACAAGTTCGGTACGCACACACGAAACCCCAGGGCGACATAATCAGAGGAATTGCGGACAGAGTACTAACGATACGGCAGCCGATGTCGACATCCGCGTCCGCGTCTCCGGTGGTGGACACACCTCGCAAGTCTACGCCATCCGCCAAGCCATCGCCAAATCCATCATCGCCTACTACCAAAAGTACGTCGACGAGCACTCGAAGAACCAGCTCAAGCAGGCCCTGATCCAGTACGACCGCACACTGCTCGTTGCCGACAACAGGCGGTGCGAGCCCAAGAAGTTCGGCGGTCCAGGTGCGCGCGCCAGGTACCAGAAGTCTTACCGTTAAGCGGTATCACTTTTGGGCTTGGAGAGGAGAAAGATGGAGCGGTGTATGGGGGAGCATGGAGCGGTGTTCATCCTGGGCTTTTACATGGGGTCTTCTACTGTCTACTATCTATCTCCTTAAGGACGAGGTTACGTGACATGGCGCGCAACGGCTGCCTGGTACGATCCCCCGGCTTGTGACGATACAAAATGAATACATTGGTTGCAAGAACATGGATAACGGCATGTCGAGTGTGGACGGTCATGAGATTCTCAGTGAAGCAGGATAAATGAATGCCAAACGACTCTTCCCCAACGAAACACCTAGACACTGAAGTGGTACACGCATAGCAAGCACACAGCTGTCATGACATTTCATGAAGAAGGCAATGGACTCAATTAACGGTCTAACATTCACCATCTCCAACACCAACGCTACCATGCATTAACACATACACACACACGCACACTAACACAAAGCTATCCTGCAGCCAACCACTTCGCCTTCTCGTCCTTCCAGGTACGTCCCTGGAGGTCAAGACTGTTGTTGGTATAGCCGTAGATTTTGAGAGGCGAAGGCTTCTAACCATCGCTACCGCTGCTCCTAAACGCCGCACACAGCGCGGCATACTGGTGTGTGAGATCGAGGACGTGCTGGGGTAGCGAGGTACCCTGGATGATGCTGCGGATTTTGACGGCGCCTTCTTCTTCGATGAGTTTGCGGATTGTGTAGAGGAGAGAGGGTGAGAACTGGAGATTGTTAGTTTCGCCATCTTGTTGAAGGGATGAAGGTAGACTTACCTCGGAGTACCATCGGTACTGCCAAGTGACCAGTCTGATCAACGCGGCTGTGACGTCTCTGACTTGTTTCCTCTCTTCGCCCAGCTTCAGGACGCCTCTCATGGCTTTTGGTGAGAACTTGATTTGCAGACAGTTCTCGTATGCTTCCACTGCCTCCTCTGTGTGGTGTAGTCTCTCAGCGAGTTCACCCAGGATCTCCCACTCCTCACTGCTCTTCTTGTACAGAAGTTGTTGCTGCCTGTACTGCGCCATCTCAGTTCGCCATATCGTGTATACGCGCAGATCCTCGTACAGGACCATGAAGAGGTTGTCGAGCCAGCGTTCGCAGAGGCGTTTGTTCTGGAAGTGTGTGTAGTTTGGTTGCGAGGGGTTGCCGTTGTTCGCGGCGTCGTGTGCGTGAGGGTCTTCGCTGCCGGCTTTCACAACTTCAGAGGCGACAGTGTGCATGGGCTTCTCGAGATCGTGGACTGCTTCGGTGGCCGCAGACGATGATTCGCCGTTCGTGTTTGATATCTCAGCGGAGGAGCGTTCCTCGACTTCGCCATGGTCACCATTTGTTTGCTGGGCATGTGTGTTTGGAGAAGGAGAGCGGAGCGCTGTTGTGCTGGCGCTGCGAGAATGGGGTTGCTGTGCGGTCTTTTCATGGCGGTATTCCTCCTCCATGACGAAGACTTGGCTTCGTATCTTGAGTAATTGATCCCAGCCAATCTTCTTTGTAATCTCGGTCAGTAGAATGTAGGCCTTGAGGAAAGTACCCTTGAAGCCTGCAGCGTGCAGCTTCCTCAGAGTTGGGTGCACAAGCTCCATATCGTCGATGTTGGAATCTTCAATCTCGTCACACATGGCTTCTGGCATGACAGGTAGGAAGACTCGCTGTGGCTCTGGCATCCGTGGTGCGTCCTTGTCCTGGTAGGTGAACATGGGACATGAGTTGAGAGTCAACAAGGCCATGTCCCACTGCTCGAGGCTGACGTATATCTCTGCTAAGCGCGCCCATGTGCCAAACTCACTAGGTGCAGACACAACGCTCCTCTTAGCAATCTCAAGCGCCAGGTCGCCGCGGCCCTTCTTGTTGCAGAACTCGGCTTGGCAGTCGAGCAGAGAGTAATCCATCGGCAGTTCTTGGATGGCCTCGTGTAGCAGCTGGACTGCCTGCACCTCCTCATCTGCCTCGATGTATACCCGCGCCAGTAGGGAAGAGATCTCCGGATCGCGAGTTCGCAATTTCTCGAACAGATTGATGCCTGAAGTATATCTACCGGTGGTATGAATGTAGTCGAGAAGACCCGTTGTCAAGTGGTTCGAGACGAGATTTGGGACTTGAATCTCGGGATCAGATCCTAATTGCCAACCTGAAATGCGTTAGCAGAGATATCGTCATGCAAGCAAATGTCGTACCGTTGAAGAACAGGCGCTCTGCTGCATCCAGAAACTTGTGCTCGCTCTCGGTACTTGTGATGGGATTGAATCTCCGCACACCAACAATCTTCTTGATGGTGTCGCCGGAGCCATCGTCGGCATAAGAATATGCGCGCAGTACGCTACACAGGTAGGTCTCCAGCCAAAGTTCGTCGGTGGCTACTCGTTTGTCGCCGCGCTCATCGATGCAGTAGCTCTCTACAGTGCCAGGGATGTAGACCTGCACGCGCATGTCCAGCCGTGAGAAGGCATTGTAGCAGCTGCTCGGTCAGCAATTGCCAGAGCCGCAAGGAGACATTCCCCTACCAATACAGGCCAGAGACAACCTTATTTTGCTTATCGTGCGCAGAGTATGTGAGGGTGTTGATGTATGCTGCCAAGCTGGCAGACGAGGAAGCGTCTACGCCGGATACGTGGTGGTAGACGCCAATCTAATCACATGTCAAATTGGGTTCGCGGCCATTGTGCGGTCGAAGGTACTACGGACCTGTTTTGTCGCATTCTTGATGGGCTGCTTTATCAGGTGGACCAGATCTGGCGGGCCCAGCTCTCGTAGGGTCTGCAGAGATTCCGAGCGCGCTTCGATTGCGGAGTGTAGCTCGTCCTCGTAGATTCTAGAGCCGTGTTAGAAGAGATTACAGCAGAAATGCGCCATGATGATGTGTTGTGACTTGAAAATAGCAGCAAGGATGCAGGTGGGCGCATATGTAAAACATGTGTAGATTGAAAGCTAGTAGGTTGCGCGTACTCGGGAACAGCTGGCGATGTGACCATGGCTTCAATTGGCGCCGCAAATGCGGGGGGACGATGGCGGTGAAGAGGATGCTATGGCGGGGGCGGGTTGCTGGTGGAGGGGCTTGGTATACACTTCACAGCCTGGGCGGATGTTTGTCAGGGTTTCGGTGTCCTTGCTGAGTATGGAGGGCAGGCACGGTAGCTCATCGCGGAGGACCGCAGCTGCCAAGACGGGGCATCCCTGCGCTCCATCATTCACTGTCGCGTCGCGTCACACCGAGGCCTCACGACGTGTCATAGGCCACAGCCCAGTCGCATCCCACCTTCTTTGTCCACACCATTGTCGCGCCTTCCATGGTTGCCTGCTGTTCAGGGTCTGTACCACCAATGCTGTGAAACGTCTCTCATTCGCCTGTCGGCCCTTCCCAACTGCCTACAACCACGCACATCTCGCATCATGGTAAGTACAACCCCGGCATTCTCAACCATGCCCGCTCACATATCGCAGTCGAAGGCCTCTACATGGCATCCCTACAATGTCGAGCTCCCCGAGGAGACCGCCGAAGAAGAAGTCGACGATACCCAGGAGATTCAGATCGAAGAGGCGCTGAAACTGTACCAAACCGCCCTCAAATACCACTCCGAAGGCCCTCCCTCGTTCGACAAGACCGCCGCAGCTTACAAGGCTCTCTTCGAATCAGAGATTTTCAAATACGCCGAATCCCTCTCGGAATACCAGCGGCATGAGGTCTTTGGCGAAGACCTGGTGTTCGACACCATATTGGAGGACGACTACGATGCAGGCCCCGTCCAGTCCACAGGCGCTGCCGACAGCGCCCCCAACACACTCCAGCAAATACTGCACCTGTCATACAAGAACCATGGCCAGTTTCTGCTTGAGGCGATGCAGCATTGGATCGCTACCAGCGGCGTGTCACCGCAGATGGAGGCATGGAACAACACACGTGGCGCCCTAAACTACTTTGCCGAGGCTTTGGATAAGGAGGACACCGACCTGGATCTCTGGCTGCGTGCGGCATCTGTCGCGGCTATGCTGGGCAGCAAGCGCCTTACTCGCTACTGTCTGGAGGCAGTCTTGGATGGAAACGACGAGCAGTGGGAGAGCCTGTTACGACTTCCTGGGCTGGAGGAGGGTTTTGCCGGACAACAATTGCGCGAGCTTGTGGGACGTCTCGAAGATAATGTCTCACTGAGCCAGGCCCCACTATCCTCCATCAAGCGCAAGAAGCTTTCCGAAACGCTGAAGAGACGCCTAAATCCATTTCCGTTCGCGCCCCTCCCGGCCGATGTCGCCCTCGCCGAAAGCCTACACAACATCAAGGTAGCACCAGAGAGCGTGACCCTGACTCCGACCAAGTGGGACTGGGCAGGACTGGGTGATATCATCGTACGGCAGTTCCTCTCGGAGCAACAGGGCATGACGCCTAACGTGCCTTCTGGTTCCAACATAGTCTTCAGTATACCACCCGAGAGCGAGACTCCTGAGCGCATCGAGTCTGAACCACCCGCACCAGTACAGGAAGCCTTGATGCCCGCACCTGCGCCCGCTCCGACCCCGTCGCCACAGATCGAAGAACCCAACACTGCAGCGACCGAAGTGGAGAACGTACCCGAGAAGGATGGCGAAGATACCATAATGGAAGAGCAGGAGGCCGAGAGCGAGGTCAAGAATGAGGAGGCTGCACCTGTTGGCCCTTCCAATGTCGCACCAGTCCCGTCGCGCAAACGATCGACAGACTCTGCTGGTCTACCCGAAACCGCAGAGGGTGGAAGGTCACGCAGTAAACGCATTCGAGGTCGAGAGTCAATTCTTGAACCGACAATCGGCAATGCAGCTCAAGAGGCCAGTAAACAGCTTGATGTACAACTTGAACCATACACATACGCAGATTCATGCCTCTATGAAATCCTCAAGGACATGTATGCGAAGCTCGGTGTCGAAGGAATGAAGGACCCTGATGAGCTGCATAAGCTGGTCATGGCGCTCCCTGACGCCACTGCTACAGATCCCATTGACAAGGCCGCTTGTGATTTCTACACGGGACTACGAAGCGGGCACGTCAAGACTGCACAAATCCTTCTCAGTTCCGAGTCTTTCGATCTCCTCGGTGCGACTAGGGAACACGGACTCAATGCATTCCTGGGTTTTTCCAAATCAAGTTCGAGTCAGGCCTCCAATAAACCTTTGCTGGAAAACCAAGGCTTGAACGCATTCGCAAGGTCTGTCAACAACGGTTGGCTTTCGATTGAAGAAGTCGCATTCGGCTGGATCGAATCTCTGTTTACTCCAGGTTACTGCTCCACGACAGGAACTCAACCGAGTGATCAGTCAAGCTACCTGCAGTTTAGGTGGGCGGAAGATCTCAAGCGAAACGTTGTACAAGTCATTGTTCGTATCGACGAGTTCATATACGAGCGCATGGCCGAACGTGTCGACAGCCTCAATCGGCGGATACTGGATGCTACGCATCGGTCTCAAGCGTATGAGCTCTCTGCCTTCGACAAGGCGCAGATAGAGATAGTGGAGGCACTGTTTGAGCTGCATCTCGATGTCTACTCTCTTATCAAGCATCCGCAAAGTGTAGTAGACGCCAGCACCCAAATCCTCCAGAGTGACCGTCTAGAGAGATGGGCTTTGCTCGCGCGGGAGGCTTTACAACTTCGATCGGACTGCAGACCAGGTCAGGGCATTGACGATCTAGGTTTGCGCCATATCTGGGCGACAGTCTTTCAAATGAGTGTCAACGACGAGGTGTTGCCGGAACATGTATTATTTGCCATGGCACAGTTGAAAGATATGTTTGAGCCTTTCGGCGATCACACGATTCAGATACAGAACAACGCCGTCATGCCGGAACTTTCAGTCGCCGCTATTGATCAGGAACTCGTGCGCATTAGTATGAAGGACTTCTTCCTCAAAGTCTTTGACCAAGAGGAACAGGACCCAGTGACGGTCATCGAAAGCCTGGAACCGATACTGGAGCTTGCGAACACAAAGGAGCCTAGTACCTCTCCGAAGCCGGACGGCTTGGAACATGACAGCGTTGATACACACAGCTCACCTACTGTAAGCACTGGCTCAGAACAGCAGCTCGATCGCGCCTCGCCTGTTCTGGAAATGCGGAAGTTCCTCGATTCTGCGAATGTCAATGTTCGACTCTCCCTCTGGAATAGGCTGCGCGTCGCATACGAAGCCATTGATTATCCTTCGAAGGTCTTGTCATGCTTCCTTAGAAGCATTGAGGCCCTTGTGGCAGATCTCAGATCTACAAACTTCCAGGAACTTCCATTACTAGACCGTCAACACAAGCTCCTAACCCGATATCGGGTTATCGACGACATGGTTGTCAAGATAATCCGCATCATCCGAGATGACGAAGCGCCATTTGCCTGCCTCTCATATGAGCATGTGCAATCGTCCATGTCCGCTATCGCAGAACTGCTACATATTATATCAGCCGCAGACATGCTCCGAGATCTGATCCGTGTCAATCACATCACCGTGCCTCGAGTAGAATCTCAGCCAAATGCGGCGTTCGCCAATATGATGTCAAGACTCGACGACATACACCTACGACTCTGGATCCTGCAGTACCATCTATTCAAAGACGGCATGTCCCAAGATCCAGAGGCTTTCCCTACACCTTCTGACGATTTGTTCGATTTCATCCGTCATGTACATCATGCGACTGGCGTACGTGGCTTCTGTCACCTTTCCAACCGTCAATTCTTAAGGCTTGCAAAGGACGAGCTACTTCGCATGGATGACATCGTTGATGGTCCCAGCCACGCCACCGAGCTCTGCCAGGTACTCCACGATATGTACGGATTGAAGCTTTTCGTCGAGCCTCTGGACTGTCAGAGCTTTCAAACTACCCCAGACGTCCTTGACAAGAAAACTGCCTTCAGCATCTTACCTTTCGCAATGTCGCAAGCTGCTAAGGTCGATCTTAAGGACCTACCGAAGACCGAGCTCAAGGGTACCATCGAGAAGGTGCATGCTGCTCTCGGTCGGCCCAAACAGAACGAGGACATCACCTTTAACCGCAAAGTCATTTCCACTTACTTCAAATCGCCGGTCAATCCAGTGGCACTGTTTGGTTGTCTGAAAGGCGTTGGTTCGCTCGCCACGAAACACATTCCTGCTGACGAAGCTGTGGCTGCATCGAAGGGCTGGTACTATATGATGGGAAACATCGCGCTGAGCAAATTCCGATCGCAGAAACGTATGACCCAGGGACCGACAGAAGACCTCAACTACGCCCAAGCATTCTTTGTGCAGGACCTGGAGCACTCCATTGAACGGTGGGAGACCTGGTATCGGCTTGCCCAAGCCAACGACACGCAGCTTGAAGAGGCTGTATCTTGGAACGCAGACAAGATGAACAGCAATAGTGCCGAGGTGGTTAATTTCCAGCGTGCTGCAATCAATTGCTACATTATGGCTGTAGCCTGCGCTACCCGCGATGCTAACATCACGCCGATCGATCAAACCAAGATTGCACAGATGTACACCGAGTTTGGAAACCGCATGTACGCCTCATCCAGGGAACCATTTGGTATGGAAGCATTCCAGATCCGGGAAAGTGAAAAACGATTCTGCAACCTACAAACGAACGCATCCCTATACAAAGAGGTAGTATTTGCCCCACTGCATGCCTACACTGCTTGGAAATTCGCAAGCACTCTCTACAAGAGAGCCATCAAGGGCAATCCGAATAAGTGGTGGAACCACTTCATGCTTGGAAAGTGTGGTTGGAAGATGTGGGCAGCAAATGATGGTGCGACGCAATATGCCAAGTCAATAGGTGCACCGCTACCCCTTCCACGTGGTCCTTCCTGGGAGTCAGTCGTGGACGCATTCATCAGCGCCATCGAAACACTGCCAGGAAAGAAGGGGCGCAGCGGCGAGCCAGTCCTTGAACCGCATTACAAGCTCGTTTCCGTCACACACAAACTATTCCTGCGAGGAGCCATCGACCACGAGAAAGGGGTGGAGATCCTCGCGAACACTTCCTACGCGCAGAACGTCAAAGCTCCGGAGAACAACGGTGACTGGCAGCGATACGTACTCGCGGTATTGAAAGCATTGCGAGCGGCCGACAAGTCCAGTTGGCACCATCGTATCATATCTCGTGTGGCCCATACTCTCTATGACAACGGCAGAGATCCAGTATCGGCCAATGAGGCTAAACATGAGCTTACGCAGCAAATGTTTACCAAGACCATGGCTGTACAGGTTTGGAAACCTGAGAATGAGCGACCTGGCCGACATTTTGTCTACACTACACGGTATACCAAGTTCTTTATTGAACTATTGGATCTCACTGGAGACAAGACTAACTTTGAGGCGCTTGCTAAGCGTGTACGACGCAAGCAGACCGACTTCTTCGAGCACCAGAAATTGTGGCAAGACTTATGTCTGCGCTACATCAAGATGCTGCGAAAGATTGGCAACGTACTTGAGGGCCAAGAAGATTCTGCTTTCAAGTCTGTCAACCACGATGAGTTCAACACGCTGGCTCTTCGGTTGGAAGCGTGGTGTCAGAACCCAGAGACTCAACATCCCGTGCTGGATGTTCTCCGTGATGCCATTGAACTCAAGCGTCTGAACAACGGCATGATGAAGCCTCTTCTCATCGACGACCTGATTGGCGATGCATACGCAATGCTGTACACTTCAATTGGGCCTTCGCTACCGCCCTTGCAATCGGAGCAACAACCACAGCAGCCCTTGCAGCCTGCACCGCCTCGACCATCGCCTTTCGGTATAACCGCAACAGCTGCAGGTGCTGTACCTATCTCCTCGTTGATGCAGGTTCAGGTTGATGGACCTGCTGACGGAAGTTCCGGTACGCCATTTAACATGTATCACCCCAACCAGCTTCAGCCGCAGCACCCGCCGTCAATGCCCCAAATGCCCTCGCAGCCTGAGCAACCCGCAAAACCAAGAGCCAAGGCAGTGGGTCGTAGGGAGATCGCTCGCCGAGCCGAAGCTTGTGTACAAAAGATCGCAGGTACGGCGACTCAGCCAACATCGATGCCTATCCGATCGCCTCCACCCAGCGAAGCAGCGCTTCCCTCCATCGTCGGACAAGCCGCCTCACCCGAAGCCGTCGCGCAACCAGCACTTGGACCAGGCACATCCACCGAACATCTACACCCTTCCTTCGACAAGAGCGGTACAGCGACCGCATCTGCCAGTATCAACAACGACGAGCCCGAACGCAGCGCACCCGCTTCCATCCACGACGATGCAGACGACGAGAGCGAGCTTAGCGAGCTAGACGAAGAAGAGGTGGAAGAGATTCATCAGGAAGTTCAGAACGATAATCTGCGTAGATCGGTATCTATTGCAGGAAAGCCTCTCTTTCCTAATCTGGCGGCTAATCGAGTTAGTCCCGAAGGAAAAAGGAATGAGACGGCTGCTGGAGATGATGCGGCGGATGATGATGGCGATGTTATTCACGTTATGTCGAGGAAGGAGGATGGCGATGTTATACATGTTGGTGCTAAGAAGGATGAGGATGCGATGGATGTTGACGGCGAGAAGAAGTAGGGAAGTTCATGGATTTGGTTAACGGCGCGCAGGAGGGTGTTTTTTGCTGGATTGTGTACAACTATAGAATAAGTGTGTCTCATGGCGTTGCTATGAAGGATCGGCGACGAAGGAGTCGGAGTGGGTTTGTTTTCTAGATACCCATCATGTAGGGCTGTATATATAACATGTATGACAGAAGCTTGAAGTAACATCATCCGTAGGTCTCTCCTTCCTCCGCCCGACGTCATTTTGGTTATTCACTTTCCTTGTCCTCAGCTGGGGTTATCATTGGCTCAGACATCACGCCCCCACAGTTCTTTCCCTTTTGCGACCGCAGTGCATTGGTTAGGCAGCAAACACAGACAAGCTAGAGTCGTGTATATTGAGGGTTCTTTGCTCCGTTCGAAAATCACCATCGCTCGATCCAAGGTATACAATGTCACGCGCCAACCCCAAACACGAACGAAAGATGAAGTTCCGCATCCCTCCTTCCAGCTACAACCGTCCCTCCAAAGACGAGAGCGCCGGTACCTCGTTCGAGAACCCACTAGTTGACTTCCGCGCCCAACTCGACTTGACCGCCACGCGCTACTATGCTTTGGATCCGACCAACGGTATCATAAAAACTACCTTGGCAGGCATAACTGAGTATCACGCGAAAGGTTTTGCTATGCTTAACAGTTACGGTTTGCGCTTGGAAGTCTTTTCCAGAAGTGGTCGCAACGCAGTCGGTTTTGTTGTCAAGCAAGCCCAGGGAGGCAAAAAGGTTTTGTCCCGCCTGAATGACCGGGAGTGGGAGTTCATCGATGCGAAGACTGCCTTGTTAGAGGCGGCCACCAACGACACTATTCACTATGGTAAGTTTGCGGAATCTTATGAGTGTCCTAAACTGTTGCTGATCATGTGTAAAAGACGTTCAGATTAAGTACTTCAAGCGCCGCATCCAACCTGAGCAGATTGAAGGTAGGTTATCTCTGCCATGAGTTTGAACGCATATACTGATAGTTCACACTTAGATGATCCCGACATAGGTCTATACGATGGTCTTTCCGACGATGAGGAAGCCGCTCCGGCTTCGGGTAGGATCGCTACTTCCTAGACTGAACCTTTCAATCGTCGTAGGCCGTAATTGAGTTTACCATCGATGTATCTTTGATGAAGACTGGAGCACTGGAGTCAAAGGGTGTTTGCTCCTAGATACGAATGATACATGACTGCACACACAACATGTGTATCAACTTTAGATTCTGAAATGGGCGACTGAGTAGCTGCGCGTCTGTCGGATGCGATCGGTGAATAGCGTTGAAATGGCGGAAGGCGCGTACGCCGAAGTTGATGTCCTCGATATGTGATGACATCACGCTCCTGCTTCTGGTCGCGTTTCTCGCCTTCCACTTGGGTATTGCGCCTTCTTCGATCCGCCGTGGTTTCTTGCAGTTTGCGATAGCGATTGCCCAATTCGAAAGCACCTCGTGTTGATTTGTCCGTCACTCAGCAAACTCGAGGTCTTTCGTCCACAACACACGACCACAAGCAGCAAACGCAATCGCTCGTTCGAGTTATAAGACCCCTCCTTTCCCGAGCTGTTTCGAGCATACAATAGGATCACAAAATCCCCTGACTACTCCACCGACAATGCGCTCCTTCACTATGGCGAATGCGCTCTCACTTTCGTAGTGAGGGGCGGCGATAGGAGGTCACCTGGACTTTGAGTAAAGGTCGAGGTGACCGCTGAGGAGAACCGCCTTGGTTGTATAAGTAAGTGGTTTCGAGCGGGTTTATGGTTCCTTCTTTCTATACACCACTGCTACAAGAAGAGATATCAGTCTTATACACTTCAGTTCTTGGTAAGTTCTCTTGAAGATACAGACCTAGATTTGCTTTACTTACTGTGTTGCAGAATCTATATACCTTATTATCCAACTCATCAATTCTCCAACCCAAGACAAGATGTCTGCCGCTGCCGGATCATCTCCTCCACCTCCGCCTCCTGGTAGCAACTCCAACGACAAGGGCACTGGCCACGGATCTTCTTCCTACCCCAACCTCAAGATCCCTCTCTCAGGAGACGGGAGCACTCCCCAGAAGGCTGCTTGGGCAGGTATCATGTTCCAACCACCTGGTATCACCAAGAACTACGTCGTCGACGGCGTTGGCCTCTTCCCTCGATACCGTCGTACCCGCGTCGAGGAAGCGCGTGAATATGCTCGACTGTCGTATACAATCCTCGATGGGGAGACCTACGAGGTTATCCCCGAGTCTCATATCCCTCCGGGTCCCATTAGCAACCCCTCTATGCCGGCCGCTGCGGGTATCGTAGCTCAGATGCAGGACATTGTCGCGCACGAGAATGCACTTGCGACGGGTTCGGGGGCAGCAACTGATGCTTACAACGCGCTCCAGGTTCACCGTGAGTTTGATGTATCCCCCTCGCATGTTCATGGCTGACACTGTATAGACGGCGACGCGTTTGTAGACGACAACGTCAACACCGGTAACTCATCGGAAGACGCCGCTGGTAAGTCCTTTCAGTGATATACCAGACGAAGTCGTACTAATCGTTTGTCAGAATCCTCTTCAGATACGTCTGGCGACCGTTCGACTGGTGCTTCTTCTACAGACTAAGACTGGCCTCTCGGATCTGTGCTTTCACTTCGGAGCGAGATTGCGCGCGCTGAGTGAATCCGACTGGAAAGAGTGGGCAAGTAGATGCAACGGAGTTTATCTTGTTAGTCACGGCGTTAGTAGATACCCTTTGGATAGAAGAGAATAACATATGAGATAAAAAGTCGAACTCCGTCTTCACACTGCATTTGAATGAGACTACCGCTCGCAGAATGACTACATGATACCTCTGGGTTTCCCCTCATCAAATCTGACCAACATGTGACGCACTACCGAGAGAAGATAAACGTTGTGTTATATGTCGTCACTCCATTGTGTAAACCCACCAGCGCTTTGACATGTCATGTACATCTACTGCGGTACCTTGCTTTATTGTTGGCGTTCTCGCTTTCCGCAGGTCTTGGCCGATTGCTACTCTCACACACATGCATCGATCTCGTCGAATCACGCATGTGTTTCAGTAGTTGTACAGACTTGTAGAAACTTATGTAGTAGCTGGAGATATCTCGTAAGCGTACATAGGCGCCTCTGACATTTACCTTCTTATTGTAATAAAAAGACGGCGATATTCGAAAGAGAAGCTGCGCGCACCTCTATTGTAGCACTCGCGTAGCACATTCTCTTAGGTACATCCGCACACAAGGTCAAAAACGTATTGCTTACTCTGCACCTCTGCAGCTGTGCTTGTGTCAAAAAAGAGTGTGCGTGGCCTAACTTCACATAGCCATGGTGAGAGAAAAGTCAAAAAAAGATTGTCGCAATTAATTGGCGGTACTGGGAACTGTAGACATGTTAGAAATGTCTCAGGACCACCAATGAGGGAATGAACGTACTCGAACCCAGGCTGGCGCGGATCTGGATCGGGACACTAGGTGTCCGCCAGCCACAACGCGACGTCATACCACTAGACCATACCACGATAGGGTTGTTAGTACGGTGATGCGAGTAGTGGCTTGGAAAGCTGCTTACCCGAAGTGATTCGTTTTGATGGAGAAACGAAGAAAAATAACGTAAATAACAGTAGCGCATTGTGTGTATGCGACCAGCATCCAGCCCGCAGTCACGTCTCCCACAAGCATGTGAATCATAGTTCTGACAGCAAAATCTGGATGCGATGGCGGGGTCAAAAGGTCTGTGCCCTCCGCTAATGGTGGGGCTGGATTTCCTGGTCGCATCCGAGTTGCTCTTTCTTCACCCAATCACCTGGGCAGTCACACCAGCAACACACCTAAGTGCTCGAAATGTCCATAGGTATGTGATCTGAAGTACTCTGCAGGCCCAGCTACGCGTTAAAAGAACGCGATCCTCCAGCTTTACCGTGAGTTCATCGATATCTAAGATAGCTGGAGCTCCACATGACGAAGGCCGCTTGGAGCTAGTACTGTATTTGGCGATTTTACCTGCATCTTCGACGAGGATGGACACCACTAACGCCCGCATCAGAGCACTCATCACCTCGGCAGTCACGAGGCAAGCCGCGCAAATCATATCGCGTTGAGGACGAATACTCGTTTCTCGATGAAGACGAGGATGGCTCTGCGCCCTCCGGCAAACAGACGCCATCCGTCCAAAACGGCGATGATGACGACGGTGATGACTTCATGCCGGATGCCCAGGAGGAGGAGATGGAATACGAAGAAGAAGACGAAGTGGTAGAGGAGGAAGATGACTCTGCGGAAGAGCAGGCCAATTCCGACGAAAGTCCTGCACCAACTCCAAAACGCAATGCACGCGATGCACGAAATGCGCGAGTACCCCAAGCCGTGCCTACTCCCCCAGACGTTATTCCGAAACGACGGTATAATGATCCCCGCTACAAGGACATGGCAGACAACATACCGTCACCAGTCATATTCAAGAAAGGAGGTGGCATCAAAGTACGGGTTGTCGATACGGACACCCAATTGCGAACGCGAGGTATCCCCGATTTCGACAAGATTGGTGGTCATGAGCCGCGGCTGAAGAACCTATTTGGTCCAGATGTACACCATCTGAGACCAGTACTCGAGTCGAGGGACTATTGGTTTCCACAAGAAACCTTCCCTATCCGGAGTTATAAGAAGAATAAACCTGATGATGCTGAGGTCGGTAGCTTGAGAAGGAGCTTCTTCGAAGCCGAAGGCGCAAGAGAGAAAGAGAATGAAGTCTTGAGGACGTGGTATGCCAATACCGGAAGCCATGCTTTTGCAAAAGCGCAGACAACGAATAAATTGACCGCGGACGAGGCGAAACAGTACATGATAACCCCAGGATCGGACACTATGAACGTACTGGCTGGTCCGGTGAATACTCCCCAAGTCAACACGCTGGCAAAAGGCTCACACATGAGCATCGCAAAACCTTTTCCGGGCGATCAGGAGCGACGCGGTTGGCTGTTCAACCTTGGCTCTTGGGTGCAAGACGCTCAATGGGCGACGAACGAGGAATCCAGCACCCAATATCTTGCTGTTGCCATCGAGCAGAGACCTACCAGCGGCGACCAGCCCAAGCCATTGGAGCAGCCAAAAGCACCTGCATTCAACCCTACTGAGCCGTTCCCTGCGTCTATTCAGATATGGTCGTTTGAAGCTGACGATGAAGGCGATTTGGATGCATCGAAAGAGCCGCAACTAGAGCTAGTCATCTGCACAGACTGGGGTGCGCCAAAACATCTCAGATGGTGCCCGGTAGCTGCTACAGACACGACTGAAGAGACGGGCGACGCAAGTAGCACGCATATAGGTATGCTTGCAGGTATTTGGTCCGATGGACGAGTGCGTGTCTTGGATATCTCCGCACCTCCCAAAGCCGACACTCACACTCCTACGTATCTTCGTGTTTCGCGCGCTGCATTTGAAGTTTCGTTCCCTCAAACAGTACCTTCATGCTTGCACTGGTTGTCGGGACATACACTCGCGGTTGCGACTGCAGCAGGTACCGTAGGTATCTGGTCTCTAAACCGCCCAGCCACACTGAGAACACCCGACGCCACACATCACAACCCCAGACCCTGGTTCTATCAGCAATTGGCAGACACGTACATTCTCACAGTATCCTCCGGATGGCCGTCTAGTCCGCAATTCCTGTCTATCAGCACTGCAGACGGTTTCGCGCGTCTCTTCGACCTGCGAAGCCCAAACGCTGACACTACTGCTTCGATACGAGGTCGCACACTTTGTTTAACGCAGGCATGGCACGAGCATACGCAATCCTTCGTCATGCCTGACGAACATTACATCCTGCGACATACGCCCATCCGTCGTTACTACCACAACCTCTACAGCATGCGATTAGAAAACAGCATTACACGCGTCGCGACAAGTCCAGTCCACCCTGGCGTTCTTATCGGCGGAGTCGACGGAGATATCCAAGCCAGCAACCCAATCATGCGCATCACAAACTACAAGATCATGCCATGGCAGCAAAAATGGTTTGTCCACGAGTGGCGAGGACCGATGGAGCGGTTGTTGGTCGAGCCTACGACTGGTGAAGATG